GTGAAAAATAGACAATTCTTTTTCCAAATACAACCTCTACTCTGTGGAGCTTTGGAGAGTGATTTGTGTGTGTGTGTGTGTGTGTGTGTGTGTGTGTGTGTGTGTGTGTGTGTGTGTGTGTTACTGGCCTATACTTCTGTCTCCAAAGCCAAAGTTACTATTCCTCTATGAATGTATTGTGTGCTCCTTGTGTGCTCTTACTGCTGTCCTGTGAGTGCGATACAACATTGACATTTCCCTTATTTTTAGTTTGTAGATGCAGCTAAACATGTCATAATGGAGCTAAAGCAGAGGCTCTGGACCAATGGCTTTTTTGTGTTTATTATATGCATACAAATATATTGATAAGATTTGAAAATTAATTTAAAGACTGAGAACGCATCAGCAAGAAAGTCAATCACACTGAGCTGACAGCATGTAAACACTGCCCTGCATTGTTCATATCGTGCAGCAACCCTCCTCCTCCCCCATCACCGCCTCAGGGCTCTTCAACCAGGATCCAGGCCCCGGGGGAGTTCACTTCATAATCTCTATGGGTTCTGCATCCGTCGTGCAGTGTTCTGCCGGGGTCTAAGCACCAAGTCACAACCAAATTTCAGCTGTAATGAATGTAAACATGTCAGTCGTATGGACTCATTTATTTAGTAACAATTCATCCATCCATCCATCCATCCATCCATCCATTTTCTACCCTTTAATCCATTTCTGGGTCAGGGGGGTGGCAGTCAGAGATGCCACCCAAGTCTCATAGCACCAGCCCCTCACTGACCCTCTGCAGGTGGTGAGTCCACAGGAGGACGGCTGCTCTCTGAGTGTGAGCATAGCCTTGATCTTTCAGTGGGGGCTTTGGGCAAAGTGGGGTTAAGTATCTTGCCCAAGGACACAATGACAGCAGTCATCAGTGGGAGTCGGTGGAGAAGGTGCAGAGGTGGGAATTGAACCCACGACCTTCTGGCCTTAAGGCCAATGCTCTACCAACTGAGCTACTGTCGCCCAATTACAATTCAATTCAATGTAATCTTGTATAGCCCTAAAACACAACAGTATTTATCCAAGAGGACTTTACACAATTGTTGAATTCGCCAACACAGATCATAGAATCAACATTGGTATTGGTCCATAAGGTCTAACAGATTACTATGGCAACCAATAAATACGATTCTGAAACCTGCGAAATCAGCGAAGTCTATGTCTTTATGTATAGCCCTAAATCAAAACAGCAGTGGGTTCAGAGGACTTTACACAGTTGACGATGCATCATCAACAAATCAGACAATCAAACAGCTCGGACACAGGAAATGCAAAAGATAGATAGATAGATACTTTATTGATCCCTGTTAAGAAATGCAGGTGTGTAGTGGCACTAAAAACACATCCATCCACACAAACAGAACAAATAAACTGATCATTAGCAACACAGAGGAGCCGGGAACCAACAGGGACAAGATGATCACTGTCCATAAATGTTCATGAATGTCCCGGAACATCCCTGTCCTTAGACCCTCCTGCCTCAGAGAGAAACCCGGCAAAAAACCCAGTGGCAAAAAGGTGAGAAACTAAAACACGACAACTTCGGTAATCACTGAACGGACCATGAGTGAGGGTCTTTCGGTCTCCTCCCGCTCACTGACCTCAGGCTGAGACCGAGCAGGGATGAAAGGAGCCGACGGAGACAAAATGCCCTGAAAGTCAAACAGAGAGAACCTGGAGTGAGGCTTTATGAGCAGGAGACGAGCTCCGGGGCCTTTGATGCCAAAGAAGTCTGTGTCCAGGCTTTGGTCACGGACGGGAGCGCTCTGTAAAACTGCATCCCAAAAGTTATGTGTTCAGTAAAAGGGGTGAAGGTCAAGTGGCCAATTTGCTCTGTCTTAACACTTGGACTGACAGCTCCCATTCAATAGTTTAGGAAGATTCATCTCGTCTTCTTAGTAGAATTAAAAGTAGTGGGTTCTTCTAAAAGATAAGATAAGATAGACTTTATGGATCTCACTCTGGAGAAATGTACATGTCACACTTGGCACAGATAGAATCACTCAGATTGTGCAAAAAGACAGAAGTGTGCAACAGGTTAAAGGTTAAAACTATAGTCTGTGCAGGATATAATTATGTACAATAAAAAGTGTGAATAAAGAAAGAGGCAAAAGCAGTGCAGGTTTTTTCAGGACAGTATAAGGTTAGCCATGTCTGAGGAAAATGTTAGTATTCGTCGAAACAGGGCAAGGTAAAAACATTGTTAACCTTCTATTGTCTGGTAGAGAAGAACCCAATACTTTAGGCAAAAACTCCCACCAAAAAATAGTTTTTAATGTATATATTTTTTATATAAGTGCTAAAACTGGTCAATATAACTCAAGATATGGCAAAAAGAGTTAGTTTAAAGGCTAAAGGCTAAATGCTAACCGCTGTAAGTAAACAGTGTATTGCTATGGTAATTGTGTTGCTATGGTAAGTCAGTGTGTTGCTATGGTAAGTGTGTTGCTATGGTAAGTGTGTTGCTATGGTACGTCTGTTGCTATGGTACATGTGTTGCTATGGTAAGTGTGTTGTTATTGTACGTGTGTTGCTATGGTACTTGCGTCGCTATGGTGAGTGTGTTGATATTGTACGTGTGTTGCTATGGTACGTGAGTTAATGTGGTACGTATGTCGCTTTGGTACGTGTGTTGCTATGGTAAGTATGTTGCTATGGTACGTGTGTTGCTATGGTACGTGTGTTGCTATGGTAAGTGTGTTGCTATGGTAAGTGTGTTGCTATGGTGTTAAAAAGTTGCACAGTTATGAAGACCGAGGAGGTTCGTAAGCGGATAGTACTTCGATTTCCAAAATGAAAGGCCGTCAAATTGACTGCTCCGGGAGTTCTAGTGTTGAGAAACCAACAACACGTGCTGGACCATCAAGCACCTGTCTGTAAACAAACCACAGCAGCTTCACTCAAAGCTTGAAACAACAGCAACGCACGACCAGAGAGACCAGAAAGAGCATAGAGAGACCAGAGCGACCAGAGAGAGCAAAGAGAGCAGAGAGAAAGCAGACAGAGACCAGAAAGACAGACCATAGAGAAACCAGAGAGAGACCAGAAAGATAGACCATAGAGAGACCAGAGGGACTTGAGAGAGAGCGACCAGAAAGAGAGACCAGAGAGAGACCAGAGGGACTTGAGAGAGAGCGACCAGAAAGATAGACCATAGAGAGACCAGAGGGACTTGAGAGAGAGCGACCAGAAAGATAGACCATAGAGAGACCAGAGGGACCAGAGAGAGAAACCAAAAAGAGACCACTCAGAGATCAGAAAAAGAGACCAGAGAGAAATTATGAGAGACACAGATACAGAGAGTAGAGAGAGACCAGAGAGAGAGACCAGGGAGAGAGACCAGAGAGAGAGACCAGAGAGAGAGACCAGGGAGAGAGACCAGAGAGAGAGACCAGAGAGAGAGACCAGGGAGAGAGACCAGAGAGAGAAACCAGGGAGAGAGACCAGAGAGAGAAACCAGGGAGAGAGACCAGGGAGAGACCAAATATCCCTGGAATAACTTACATTTTAGTAAAACTGGTCCAATGTGAACAAGGCCTATAAGAGTAGCTCTGTGCACATCTTGTTAAAACGACGCAATTATTAAAAACCCAAAGAACCAAAATTAATTTTCAACAGCCCTCATCTTGTCTTTGATTTATTTACTGGTGCGTCAGTCCATGGTGCGTCAGTCCATGGTGCGTCAGTCCATGGTGCGTCAGTCCATGGTACCCTTTTACTGTTACTAATATCACAAGCTCCTGTGGTGAAGCAAGAACGACATCCTCCAAGTATTCTCAGAAAATGCAAAAAGGCTTTAAACGTGTGGTCGGGTCTCTTCTCTCCAGACCGAGACTACAGCTGGATCCCGACGCAGAGGGAAAGGTTTACTGTACATAATTTGGGGGATTTGAATAAAAAAATCCAAATGGGGAGTGAGGACGGAACGACGCAGAGCTTTTCCCCCTGAACTTGATTAGGACGCTCCGGAGAAAGGCATTGGAACATTTGCACCACGGCTGTATTCCATGATTTCATATGCAGAGGTCTGAGGCTGTAGACCCAGGACTGAGACTGTAGACCCAGGACTGAGGCTGTAGACCCAGGACTGAGGCTGTAGATCCAGGACTGAGACTGTAGACCCAGGACTGAGGCTGTAGATCCAGGACTGAGGCTGTAGACCCAGGACTGAGACTGTAGACCCAGGACTGAGGCTGTAGACCCAGGACTGAGGCTGTAGATCCAGGACTGAGACTGTAGACCCAGGACTGAGGCTGTAGACTCAGGACTGAGACTGTAGACCCAGGACTGAGGCTGTAGACCCAGAACTGAGACTGTAGATCCAGGACTGAGGCTGTAGACCCAGGACTGAGACTGTAGATCCAGGACTGAGACTGTAGACCCAGGACTGAGACTGTAGATCCAGGACTGAGGCTTTAGACCCAGGACTGAGGCTTTAGATCCAGGACTGAGGCTTTAGATCAGTGCCAAGAGCTTGAATCCTATATATACAAGATGGCGGTACGCTCATGGTGGAATCTTTAAGCATAAGTAGCTAACTTTAGAAACGATCAAAGCTGGAAGTAAAGAAAAGAAGGTTGGAGAAAAGGTATTGAGAGAGAGAGAGACCAGAGAGAGAAAGACCAGGCAGAGAGAGAGACCAGATAAAGAGACCAGAAAGACAGACCAGAGACATACCAGAGACAGACCAGAGACAGACCAGAGAGAGACCAGAGACAGACTATAGAGAGAGACAGACAGAGAGAAAGCAAGAGACCAGAGAGAGAGAGAGGTGAAATTGATGGACTTTTTTGATGCCTGAGTCTGGCAGCTGGAGTTGGACAGAGAGAGAGAGACCCTAGAGCGAAACCAGAAAGAGACAAGAGAGAGATAGAAACCAGAAAGAGACCAGAAAGATACTGATACCAGAAAGAGACCAGAGAGAGAGCAGAGAGAGAGAGAGAGAGAGGTGAAAATGGTGGACTTTTCCGATGCCTGAGTCTGGCAGCTGGAGTCGGGCAGTAGCTGTGGTGTCTGTGGTCTCCCGCCGTAACCTAGTGGGACGCAGCGAGACTCAGCGAGACTCAGCGAGACCCAGTGAGGACTCAGCCTGGACTAGCTCCTCTTACAGAGAAACAGACTTCATCAATCATGGAGCTTCAGGATGGGCCAGACACACAAGGTGCACCACACAAAGAAAACACACAAATTGGAAATTACAACTGCAGTGCACCGAGAGCCAGCGGCGGAACACTCTGGAAGCGAACAAGTGGAAATGGGTCCAGACTTTTCTCTCTGTTCATTTTACCTACATGGAATGTATCTTTTTTTTATATTTTTAACATTGTTATTATTATTATTATTATCATTTTTTTTATTATCATTTTTATTATTATTATTATTATTATTATTATCGTCATTGTTATATTATTATTATTATTATTGTCATTATATTATTATTATTATTATATTATTATTATTATTATTATTATTATTATTTATATCATTATTATTATGTCATCTTTTCTTTGCATTATAACCATTGCCTTGTTTTGTGTTTGACTCACTCTATTTGAATTCTAAAGACAAAAACTCATTCATAAAAGAAACTAAATGAGGCAATTTATAATTATTATTTTATGTATGTATATTTCTTATCCAATTCGTGTTTAATATTTTGGTGCTTTTGTTATGTATTTATATAAACATTTGTCTTTGAGTATCTTGTTTTGGTTAAAGGTATAGAGAAGGATTGTCTACTTCCGGGTGGATCATCGGGTCTATTGGTCCTCCCACCTGTCAATCATTCTGGTGATACGTGCTCGTCCAATTAGACCAGAGAGTTTTGTTTAAAAAGTGGAGAGGGCGGTTCTTTCCTAAAATGTGGGAAAACTCGCCGCGTACAAAATGAAATGAAATTGGTTCAATCCCAGCATGTTTTCTTTGTGTTGACTCTTGGACCAATGAGGGAATGTTTTTTTTTTTAAGTAAGAAGGACGACTCAACTCAATGTATTTGATTCGTCCAAAAGGGGTATTAGACCCAGGACTGAGGCTGTAGATCCAGGACTGAGGCTGTAGATCCAGGACTGAGGCTGTAGATCCAGGACTGAGGCTGTAGATCCAGGACTGAGGCTGTAGAAACATATGAGCAGTGGCTGTGCAGGCTCAAGTCGATGGGCCTTTTGCGGTGAGACAGTCTGGAGCAATAACGAGGTGGGGTGCGTGTTCATGCGGGTTGCCAGGTTCTGATCCACCACCTTCCTGGCACCAGCAGCACGGCGCGCACATGGTGTCCGCGTGGGAAGAGCGACACATGGAGCGACATGTGAAAACTCATGATGGAGTCAGCTCGATGTGGGCTGTCGACAAACGCTGCAATAACGTGTTTTTTTGATCATCGCTAACCCTTCTGCTTCCTGACCAGACTAGACAAAGATGTATTTAAGTAGGGCAAGACGATCTCTCTCCCCATTGGTTTAAGGTCTATATATTGGCCATACCTGCAGGTGAAAGCCAGATCCCGTCAGACCTCTGAAGCAGTGCCTGGTTAGTTCTGTGATGGGAGACCTCTTGAAACACAAGGTATCACAGCGGAGCGGCTGTAAAGGGCCGAACTCAAGAATTTATTAGAAATCTTACCCTAATTTTTACAGTTTTTGTAGTTTTGGTTTCTAAAAACTACAAAACTGTAACCATGTGAGCGCCAGGCTCCTCAGCTCCTGTGCAGACGAACTGTGCGGAGTTATGGGGCACGTCTTCAACATGAGCCTCCGCCTGAGGTCGGTACCACAGATCTGGAAGACCTCCTGTGTGGTACCAGTGCCCAAGAAACCACGGGCCAAAGACCTCGGCGATTTCAGGCCAGTGGCTCTAACATCCCACTGCATGAAGACACTGGAGAGACTGGTCCTGGGACATATCCGCTCCACTCTGAGCCCAGCGATGGACCCGCTGCAGTTCGCCTACAGGCCGGGCATCGGAGTAGAGGACGCCATCATCTCCCTCCTCCATCGCTCCCTGTCCCACCTTGAGAAACCCGGCACCGCTGTGAGGATTATGTTCTTCGACTTCTCCAGCGCCTTCAACACCATCCAGCCGAGGCTTCTCAGGGACAAGCTGGAGACAGCGGGTGTGGACCACGACCTGTCTGAGTGGATCCTGGACTACCTCACAGACAGACCCCAGTTTGTGAGAACCAGGGACTACGTGTCTGAGGTCCTGACCTGCAGTGTGGGGGCCCCCCAGGGGACAGTCCTCGCACCGTTCCTCTTCACCCTCTAGACTGCGGACTTCAGACACAACACAGACGGTTGTGTTCTACAGAAGTTCTCTGACGACTCTGCCATCATCGGACTCAGCTCCGAGGACAATGACGCAGAGTACAGAGGAGTTATACAGGACTTTGTGGACTGGTGTCAGCGGAACCACCTCCTCATCAACGCGGGGAAGACCAAGGAGATGGTGGTGGATTTCCGCAGACGTCACTCTGCCGCTCCAGCCCCAGTGTACATCCAGGGAAAGGGAATTGAGAGAGTGGACTCTTACAAGTACCTGGGTGTTCATCTGAACCACAAACTGGACTGGACTCATAACACAGACGCCCTCTTCAAGAAGGGCCAGAGCCGCCTCTACCTGCTGAGGAGGCTCAGGTCTTTTGGAGTGCAGGGGCCACTCCTGAAGACCTTCTATGACTCTGTGGTGGCATCAGCCATCTTGTACGGTGTGGTCTGCTGGAACAGCAGCATCACAGAGAGGGACAGGAAGAAGCTGGACAAGGTCATCAGGAAGTCCAGCTCAGTCCTGGGCTGTTCCCTGGACACAGTGCAGCAGGTGGGGGACAGGAGGGTCCTGGACAAACTAACATCTATGCTGGACCATGACTGTCACCCCCTGCAGGACACTCTCTCTGCTCTGGAGAGCAGCTTCAGTGACAGACTAATTCACCCTTGATGTGTGAAGGAGAGGTTTCGCAGGTCTTTCCTTCCTGCTGCTGTCAGACTGTACAACAAGAATGTGTAACAGGAACTGCTGAGTCTGCACAAGTGTTTCTGATAATTCACTAGTAACTTTGTCACTAGTCACTTTACCTGTTATCAGTACTACTACTACATATCTGATATTTACTGTTATCAGTACTACTGTATTATTTCATATCTGATAATTCTGCCTTTCGCCGTCACTTTACCTGTTGATATCTTACTGTGTATTATTCATATCCATCTGATAATTCTCCCATTCAAGTCACTTTACCTGTTGATATTATTTCTGATGCTTATTCTGCTCATATTCTCATATTCTCCGCTGCTAATGTATAATATAGACATCTGTAAATACTCCGAACCAAGTGCAATTGTAGCCCAGATTTTCTTATTTTATTTGATTTTATCTTAAATATTTATTGTCTATTATAATAGACTTTGATGTGTGCAGTCTGAGTGCTCTTATTTCCTTTCTCTGCTGTAATGTGCAACGATGACACTGAAATTTCTCCACTGTGAGACTAATAAAGGTTTATCTTATCTTATCTTATCTTAGATCCAGGACTGAGGCTGTAGATCCAGGACTGAGGCTGTAGGTCCAGGACTCAGGCTGTAGACCCAGGACTGAGGCTGTAGACCCAGGACTGAGGCTGTAGACCCAGGACTGAGGCTGTAGACCCAATTTCAGACCCAAAAACAAGCAACAGCTCCAATATCTGTACTTCCATCCCATACTTACACGTGTCTTTTAACTTCAGACCATCCCAGTCTTGAGCCAAAACAAAATCATAGTTTGTGACTTAGTGTTTCTCACAACGACAATAAAATAATCCTGATTCTTCTCCGTTTGCCACAACAACATGTTTTCCTGACTTTTTACAACATCTTTCCAATGACACATATACATGAAAAAAAACCCAAAACATGACAGTGGTTCTAAGAAAAGAAAAAAACCTCAAATGTGACAGATGCAAAGCTCGGGAATAAAGCCTCGGGAGAAAGTGGAAACTCTTTGGAAAGTCATCCGCCACATTGTACTGAACACAAATGTCACAGTTTAACCTCAGCAGACTCCACCTCCGTCCTGTCTCATCATTTCATTCCAACGATCTCCATTTGTGCCATTCCACTACGGAACCCAGACCAAAGCCATCCACCCAACGACTATTCCAGACCCAGATGTGCTCCATTTTTCTCCGACATACAGTACACCACGGTCAAAGCAAAAGTATCCATAGTTCCCACAGACCAATGAATGTCACATGACCTCCTCGGAGACGCCATCTTTGATGGCACGCTGCTGTGTTTGTGCATTCCATTAAACAGAAGAATGAGAATAAATGTAAATATTGAAACGCAAATTGGAAAAAAAGGGCAACTTTTGAGCAAATAATTGTATATTAATACAATGGCACCACAGTTTAACGTGCTACGGACATGTTTTACATATTTGATCAAATTATGCAGCAAAAATTAACAAGCAATGCAAACATTTCTCAAAAACTTTAGATTTAATACCAGTTGGAGCTCCATTTAATTATTTTAATTATATTAACAATTAATTTAATTAATGCTAATGCCACACAGACACTCTGGATTGCTGTTATTGTTTATTTCCGCGTTTTTGACCGTATGTTTTGGTGAATGGTGGGAAACTGATTTTTCCAGGCGTAAAGAGCAGTTTATTTTATGACACAGATCTTTTTACAGAAGCAATGCTGTTTGTGAACATTGTTTTAGCCCACCATAGAACTATTATTATCTATTTAATACATTTACGTTGCCCTCGAGAGCCTCGGACGCGACACCGATCCTCCTCATAATAAAGTAATCTAACGCTAAATAATGAAACTCTCAAGTTACCAGATATCAGCATACACAAGTTAGTACTGAGTAAATTACGTCTGTCAACACATTATAAGATACGATACGCACCTGACACAAAGTGCTCCGAGCATATTCTTGCGTGTTTTGAGGGAGTTTCTTGCCTGTTTATCTTCGCAAGCCATAACCTCCGTGGTTGTTCTGACAAAAGCTTAGTCTTCTCACATTCATGAAGTCTAATGATGGGTATACTGTAAAATCCAAGTTTAACTGAACCTCCGGCACGATTAGAACATCCATTGACCCAGCAGGAGATGACCATTTTCGACTTTATCACGACATTAACACGTTTCAGCTTCTTTTTCTATTGTTTTGCCCACAGCATGCCAAGACAAATGGCGCCGGGTCGGCAAATCCCCGTATGTAGTGACGTCATGTAGGAACTATGTATCCATACCCCCCACAAAAGCTGTCTACACTGGGCCCTGGTTTATCGCAGAGGGGGCCGTCTACAGCTGTATCATGATAAGTGAGATCTGGGAAGTGGCAGCTGTGTGTTTTAAGGCTGTGAAACCCTCACGCACGTTTTATACAGTTTTCTAACCACCTGAAGTCACGACTGATGAAGAGAGAGAGGCCAGAGATATGAAAAAGCTGTTGGTTGTAGGTCTGAGCGCTGCTGCAGCTGTCAAAAGCTGTGTATACTGTTAAAATACAGCTGCAGAGGAGACTGGAGAAACAAGAAAGAGGAACCAGGAGACCAGAGAGAGAGACCAGAGAGAGAGACCAGAGAGAGTCCAGAGAGAGACCAGAGAGAGAGACCAGAGAGAGACCAGAGAGAGAGACCAGAGAGAGACCAGAGAGAGAGACCAGAGAGAGACCAGAGAGAGACCAGAGAGAGAGACCAGAGAGAGACCAGAGAGAGAGACCAGAGAGAGAGACCAGAGAGAGACCAGAGAGAGAGACCAGAGAGAGACCAGAGAGAGAGACCAGAGAGAGACCAGAGAGAGACCAGAGAGAGAGACCAGAGAGAGACCAGAGAGAGACCAGAGAGAGACCAGAGAGAGACCAGAGAGAGAGACCAGAGAGAGACCAGAGAGAGACCAGAGAGAGAGACCAGAGAGAGACCAGAGAGAGACCAGAGAGAGAGACCAGAGAGAGTCCAGAGAGAGACCAGAGAGAGAGACCAGAGAGAGTCCAGAGAGAGACCAGAGAGAGAGACCAGAGATATGAAAAACCTGTTGGTTGTAGGTCTGAGCGCTGCTGCAGCTGTCAAAAGCCGTGTGTATAATGTTAAATGCAGCTGCGGAGGAGGAGACTGGAGAAACTAGAGAGAGACCAGAGAGAGAAACAAGAGGGAGCTGAGAGAGATGAAAGAGACCAGGGAGAGACCAGGGAGAGACCAGAGAGAGACCAGAGAGAGAGTAAAGAGAGTAGAGAGAGACCAGGGAGAGACCAGAGAGACAGGAGAGAGGGACCAGAGAGAGAAACAAGAGAGAGACGAAAGATACCAGGGAGAGACCAGAGAGAGGAGAGAGGGACCAGAGACCAGTGAGAGACCATAAGAGAGAAACCAGAGAAAGACCAGAGT